AGTTGAGCTGTTTGAAGTCAATGCCAGAGTGCTTGTTCAGAGTCCCATTTCCTGAGAATTAGGGACAGGTCAGATATCCAGCATCAACCCTGACCCAGCCCGAGGAACCCATGGTAATTCTCCCTTACACCCCTCCTCCTCCAAACAGTGACTCACGGGGCCGAGTGCGGGTGGTCCCCTTCCAAAATGTGTCCTTGTATGGAATACGGTTCAGATTCTGGCCCATCTTCTCTGCCCGCTCTGGGGGGAAAAAAACCAGTCTTAGCCTGAGCTGTGGTAGGGACGGACAGGATGACAGACGCTGCGGGTGGGAGCTGGACCTCGGAGAAGCTCTCTTAGGGGTGCCTTCGCTTTGTCCACAGGCATCTCTCCATACTTGTTACAGATGCTGACAAGGGCCCCGTTAGCAACCAGATCCTGGAATGAAAAGATAGTTGTAATGAGGACCCCTGCTATTTCCCTAGCAGTCCCAGCCAACCCCCCCCCACACACACACACACAAACACACATGCTGTGTACAACCCCATAAATTATCACACAGTAGTGCTGACAGGTTAAGGGTTCCAGAGTATTCCACTCAGGATCAGAGGTTGCTTCTCACCAATCCAAGGACTCACCTCTGCCACTTGGTCTTGGCCCCAAAAGCAGGCATAGTGCAGGGGCACATTCCCATGCTCATTCACTGCATTGATGTCAGCTTTGTACTGCAACAGCTGGGCCCCATGGCCAAACAGAGAAAGGCACAGTCAGTCTAAATGAGCTCTCCGTATCAGGATGTGTGAAAAGGAAGAAGAGTATACACTTTCTACTGTATATTCCAGTGCCTGTGGTGGACCTTATATGGCATGTATATCATGTGGGTGATGGAGGGTTCATACATACCTTCTGTACAATATCACGGTGTCCATGGCTGGCAGCCAGGTGCAGGGGGGTATCATCTCCACGGTTCATCACATTGATCCGTGCGCCCCGCATGATGAGCATCTCAACCACAGCAGAGCGACCCTCTCGGCAGGCCCAGTGCAAAGGGGAGAAGCCATGATCATCCCTTTGAAAAAGGGGCAATGGTAATTGGGTTGGATGGGGCAAAGGCTTTTATTTATGAAAAAATAGTCCTATACTCTCTGGGAAGGCGTTTTTAAGGACTTCAGTTCTCGTTCAGTTCCCAAAGCTGTGCAGGTCAGCCCTCGCCCTGAGCTTCATGCCCAACCCATGACCCAGATTAGATAACCCAGTGACTCAGTTTCTTCCCTGACAGACCCTATTTCATTGTTTCTCCTGCATCCCTTTTGCAATGTCTGTTGGTCCTGTTTTTTGCTGCATCTTGTACCTCCTCCTACTGTAGCACTTGCCACACAGTATTGTAAAAATCTGTTAAGGAACTGCCTTGCCTGTTAGACTGTAAGTTTCTTGAGGGACTGACAGCAGGTCTCCAGTGCATGTTAACGGGGAAAAGGGTGTTTGTAAAAGGCAGGCCACACTTGCTGGAGGGAGCAAGCTTACTGTCTGGCTCGGGCACTGAAACCAACATCTAAAAATGGAATGGAATTAAAATGATGTTTTGGAAGGGTCTATAATGAAAAGGAGAAATGCCTTTGATTACTGATGAGACAGTTAACAAATTACCACACAAGGCAGAATTCCCCTATTTAGCAATCTCAGGTACAGTGAGAAAATGAGTATAGCTGCTTAAGAATGAAAACTGTATCGGGGTTTCTCTTTTCTCAAGGACCTGTATTTTATAAAGAAAAGTGTACAAACAACAATTGGGTGGGAGCTGGGCCTTCCTGACAGCCTGGGGCCATAAAAGGAAATTCCCTCCAGTCCCCGACTGCAGATCCAAGGGGCGGGGCTGGGGGCGGTCCGTGGTCTGGGCAGGCAGCCTCCGGATGCTTTAGTGCTGCAGTCACTTCCCCTGCGGGGGCTACAGGCGGAACCTAGAGCTCATCAGGGGTCTGAGCTCACAGCTGTACCTACAGCCCAAGGGAGGCGTGGCCTTTAATCATTTCCCCCCACAGCCTGCCTCTTCTGCTCACACAAAAATAGCTAAAAGCTTTCTCCGGATGTGGGTATCCCAGGAAGCAGTTACCACCCTGCCTATCAGTCTTGTTTCCTAGACATTTAATTTGTGCCCTGACTTAACCTCCAGCAGTCAACCCCACAGCAGGTTGAAAGCAGAGGGCAAAAGTATGGGCACAGGGTTATGCCCACCATCAGGTTGCATTACCACAGGGCCTGGGCTTTGATCTCAAGGAGGCCTACAGGGAATTAACTCCCTGCACGTTGCCACCCCTCCCATCCTCTCCCCTCAAAGTAGCACTAACATCCAGTGTCATTAATGCCATCCTTTTGCTTTTCTGCAGCAGTCTTCCAAGCTGGCAGGCCCACTGGGCAACTTTGTTTAGTCCCTTGTTTCCTCATCAGCAAATAGTAACAGCACTGTTTCACCTTTTGAGAATTATGTGGAGAAAATGGAACAGATGAAATATTAAGGAGAAATCTGTATAGAGCCTAATGAGAATCACTGAAGCCTAGACTTCTGACGATAGGTGATCCTCACCTCTGAAACCTAAGAACTAAAGTCTCCCAACCTTAAGAATTTTTTTTTTTTTTGACAGAGTGGACAGTGAGAGAGAGAGAGACAGAGAGAAAGGTCTTTCTTTGCCGTTGGTTCACCCTCCAATGGCCGCCGTGGCCGGCGCGCTGCGGCCGGCGCACCGCGCTGATCCGATGGCAGGAGCCAGGAGCCAGGTGCTTTTCCTGGTCTCCCATGGGGTGCAGGGCCCAAGCACCTGGGCCATCCTCCACTGTACTCCCCGGCCACAGCAGAGAGCTGGCCTGGAAGAGGGGCAACCGGGACAGAATCCGGCACCCCAATCAGGACTAGAACCCGGTGTGCCGGCGCTGCTAGGTGGAGGATTAGCCTAGTGAGCCGCGGCGCCGGCTGTAAAATATTAAATGAAAAAATAAAAATCCACCACCCTGAATCACGATCAGTGCTGCTTTTCTTGCCTTCTAACTCAGCCAACCTTAAAGAACTTATCTACATTTACTTTCTCTATTTCCTCACCTCCCATTCAATTCAATGGCAAGTCTGCCACTTGGAAGGCAGAGAGTCTGTCTGATTTTGTGACATTAGCACCCAGGACACAAGATGTTAAGTATAGTTCGTTAAAAGGGAAACCTAATGTGATCAGGGGCCTTCACCTGCCAACCCTCTGAGATTATCAGGCTTCCTAACTGTAAAGCCAATGGCTACTCTGAAATGCTCATGTTCCTTGACCTATCAGCCTATGCTAGTGTTGACCACCCCCCCTTCATGAAAACATTTATCTTATAAGCTTTAATCACATATTTTCTGTTCTTTCTTCAACTTCTGGTTGCTCCATTTCTCTGCCTCAGGCTTTTTATTCCCTGCCCTCTTGTCTTCCACTCTTCTGAGGCACTCATCTTCACTTTCCTGACTTCAGGTTATCATCCACTTGCTAATATCTCCCAAATCTGCGTCTCCAAACCAGGGCTCATGCCTGAACTCCAAATCTGCATGACAACCTACTCAACATTTCCACCTTGCTGTGTTGTCACCTTAACTGTCTCTTGTCTAGAATAAAACCCCTTGTCCATCTCAGTAAGAGCAACCACCATCTATCAGGTGCCCAAACCAGAACCACAGTCATCACCTTTAACCTTCCTGACTTCCCACAAGTCCACTAATTCTTCGTCCTAAAGGTTTCTGGAATCTGATCACTCCTCTTTTTTACCTGCCCCGATTCCAGCACAAGGATTATCACTTGTAGAATGGACTAGGCAACTGGCTCCTTTCCACCTGCATCCTAAAATATTTAACAAATGTATCCTCTCATCATCCCACTATGTTAAAACCTTTCTGTTAGAATGAACGCCTTATTATAGCCTGAATATGCCTACCTGATCCGATCCAGCCCTCTCCAGCCTTATCTTCTGTGCTTGTTCACTTGCACCCAGTGCCTCAGCCCATAGAGTTCTATCCTCCAGCCAATTTACTGGCACCTTTTGCTCTGTCTTGCCTTCTAGCCTTTACACATGCTGTGCACTGAAAAGCTCTCTGCTGTCTCTGCCTGCAAAACTCAGTAATCAAGATTCAGCTCAAACACTGCTCCCTCTGTGGAGCCCCTCTGCCCCAGACAGGCTGTGGTTCACACTCATCACTCATCACACTGGATGGCAAAGTGAGCCGCACCCACTAGACGTGAGCACCCCACGTAGCGGAGAGGAGATCTCTAGCCCTCCTCTCACCCACCAGCGGCTTCTGCTCACCCCTGGTTGAGGTCGTTCTCGGTGTTGTCCAGCCACAGGCGCACGGCAACCGCGTTGCCCTCCCGGCACTGAGTGAAAATGTCGTCCATAGCACGTCCCGGCGCTGAGTCCCCGGGGTTGGGGAAGCCTGCGGACTGTGAGGACCCAGGGAAATGGATGAACCTCAATCTTTGTCCGCTACAGGAAATAAGTTTTGGAGATCTGGGTGGGGGCTGGGCGCTGCGTCTCTGGCTAGTTGGGGGTCTGTGGAGGAGTTCCGAGCAGCGAGATGAGCCTGGGCGCGAGAGAAAGGCGGGTCCCGACAGGACAGGGAGTGATGAAGAAGTGGTATGGTATCTCCTGAGCGGATGTCACAGACCAGGCACCGGGACCCACTAACGGGCTGGGGGAGGGGGAGGTACAAGTTCCGTCTACCCTGGGGAGGAGGAGATCGGGGTCCTTTTCGGGGATTGCCTCCGTTCCCTACTTAGAACTCGTGCAAAGTGAGGGGTGATCGGTTGGCTGGGCCTCACTCTTGGGCAGGGGCCGCGGGTCCTCCCGCACTCACTCACCGGGACTCGGGCTGGAGGCGCCTTCTCCGGGGAACTCCCGTCCGGCCGCGCCCGCTGACCGGCCCCGCCCCGCCCCTGGCCCTCTAGGGCCAGCGCGGGCCTCCTTCCCTTCCTATCTCCTCCCTTGCCCTTCTAGCCCGCTAGTGTCCAAATCTCGATGGTTTCTGCGCGGCGCCGGCCGTTCTAGCCACATAGGGCTTTCACTCTTTGGTTTCCGGATCCGATCGGATCTGGGCGCTTTACCTCCTGGGTAAGCGCTCTGCACGTGGAGAGGCGAGTGGGCTTCGGGACCCTGCGCCGCAGCCCGCATGTTCGAGGAGCCTGAGTGGGCCGAGGCGGCCCCAGTAGCTACAGGCCTAAGGCCCGTGATCTCACGGCCTCGGCCGGCGCCACCTTCGCAAATCAAGGTGAGTGGCTCCCGCCGCGCAGGGTCAATGGGAGCTGTTTCGGATCCCAGATCGGAGCAAGCCTGGAGGCACTGACTCAAAGATCCTAGTAGTTCCAAAAGAAAATGACGCTGGAGTTGAGAGAGAGGCAGCGAACAGAAGTTGGTGAGGTGAAGAGGGTTCCTTGGATATACATGCAAAGGCCCTGGGGCAAGGGAATGTGTTCTGTTAGAATCACACAAAAAAGTGAGCCTTGGTTGAAGCACAGGGTGCAGATGAGAAGGGATGTTGTTGAAAAGGCAGGATTCTAAAAGTTTTGTGTATGTTGAGGGTAGAGGGACGTCGGTGAAGTGTTCCCAGCAGTTAATTCTCCAGGTTTGCATTCAGTGGTTATTCACTGCGGTGCGGATTGGAGAGAGGAAGTGACAGTGAATGGTTGTCAGTCTCGCTGTTCAGCGGATGGTAGGGGGGAACTGAGAACCTTCAAGGACCAGCCAGCAGGACTTCAACCCAGGGTCAGCCTCCCAGACGGCAGAGCTGCTTCTCTGAGCCCCTGATTGAAAGGCTGCTGTGCCTCCTCAGCCTCCAGCGTGGACTCCGCCGTCCTCGTTCCCTCTCTGTCATCCCTTCAGCCCACAGCCACAGTCCAGGCCGCCCACCTTTCTGTCTGTCTGCAGCCCCTTCGGCTTGTTTTCTACGCTGCAGCTAGAGGCATACGTAGCACCCACGAGCATGACATCCTGTGTTCAGAAGCCTTCCTGTCTCTAACAGAAAAGTGTCAGCTGGAGGCACGGCTGGGCTGGGCAGTTCAACTCCTAGTCTCTAGCCTTGGCCCCCTTGCTTCCTCCACCAGGCGCCGCCCCCTCCCCTCCCCTGAAGGAGGTAGAGTGGGTGGTGTCTATCCTCCAGTCTCCCAAAGCTCGGGATGGTGTCGTGAAAGTTCTTCCAGGTCTGGCTGGCCTCGTGGCAAGGTAATTCGGCTGACTTGGAAGAATCCAGATGCCTCTGCCATCATCTGAATCAGGTCCCGTTTTCCCTTTCTTATGCAACAGGCTTCATCCATTCTCCTCGTCCCCTCGTCTCATCCCTTGTTTTCCTCCAGGGTCCCAAGCGCCGCCAGCTCTTGGCTACATTACGGGCCTTGGAAGCAGCATCTCTTTCCCAGCAAGCCCCCAGCCTACCTGACAGTGACTCTGAGGAGGAGGTGGAAAGGAAGAAAAAGCAACCTAAAAGGACATCGTTTGCCAGGGCCTCTGTTGAATCAGGGGACAGAAGGAAGAAGAAATGTCGAAAGCAGGGCCCTCCTTGCCGTGACTCTGAGGGAGAGGAAGTAGAAAGAAAGAAAAAGGTCGGCAAGCGGGGTCTTGTTGGCAGTGACTCTGCTGAGGAACAGAGAAAGAGGAAATGCCAGAACCCAGCCCAGCACCTGAACAGTGTTGACCAAACAGGTACCATTTGGTGTATATATATGTGTGGGAGAGGAGGTCTCCTGGTTCTGCATGCAACAGAGGGTGCCCTGCCACCATTAGGGTTGGAATTAGGCAATAAGAAGTGCTTTTAGGGGCAGGCACCGTGGCTCACTTGGTTAATCCTCTGCCTGCAGCGCTGGCATCCCATATGCGCGCCGGTTCTAGTCCCAGTTGCTCCTCTTCCAGTCCAGCTCTCTGCTGTAGCCTGGGAGGGCAGTCAAAGATGGCCCAAGTGCTTGGGCCCCTGCACCCACATGGGAGACCAGGAGGAAGCTCCTAGCTCCTGGCTTCGGATCGACGCAGGGCTGGCCATTGTGGGCATTTGGGGAGTGAACCAACAGAAGGAAGATTTTTCTCTCTGTCTCTCTCACTGCCTATAGCTCTACCTGTCAAATAAAGAAGAAGTACTTTTATCTGGACCACAGTCGTCTTTGTCTCAAAGATGAGGACAAAGACGATGACCAAGTCTCTGAATTTAGGGGATTTTTTTTTAAAGATTTTATTTATTTACTTGAGAGGCAGAATTACAGACAGTGAGAGGGAGACAGAAAGGTCTTCCATCTGCTGATTCACTCCCCAAATGGCCGCAATGGCCAGAGCTGCGCCAGTCTGGAGCCAGGAGCCAGGAGCTAGGAGTTTCTTCTGGGTCTCCCACATGGGTGTAGGGCCCAAGGGCTTGGGTCATCTCTACTGCTTTCCCAGGCCATAGCAGAGAGATGGATTGGAAGAGGAGCAGCCAGGACTTGATCCGGTGCCCATATAGGATGCTGGTGCTGCAGGCGGAGGATTAACCCACTGCACCACAGGGCCAGCCCCTTAGGGGATCTTATTCCAAATACACCATCTCCCTTTCTGCAGATTCCCAAATCCAGAAGAGTAGTGCTACAAATGGGCCACCCAAGTCAAGCCCTGAGTCCTCTTGCCCTAAACCCTCCCATACCTTGACTCGAAAGCAGTGGCGGAACCGGCAAAAGAACAAGCGGAGGCACAAGAACAAGTTTCGGCCAGCTCAGGCTCCAGACCAGGTTCCAGCTGAGGCCCCCACAGAGGAGACAGAGGTACCTTCTGTTTCCAAGCCAGACAGCCACGAGGCTCGTGCTGAGGCCCTCCGAGCCCGCATGGCGCAGAGGCTAGACGGGGCCCGATTTCGCTACCTCAATGAACAACTTTACTCAACGCCCAGCAGTGCTGCGCAACGCCTCTTCCAGGAAGACCCTGAGGCTTTTCTCCTCTACCACCGTGGCTTCCAGAGCCAAGTGAAGAAGTGGCCACTGCATCCAGTGGACCGCATTGCCAGGGATCTTCGCCATCGGTGAATGGGGGTTGGGCACTGAGGAGCAATGTGGGTCAGTCCTGGGCCCATGCCTGACCAGTTTGTGACTCCTGCCTTCCGCTCCCAGGCCTGCATCCCTAGTGGTGGCTGACTTTGGTTGTGGGGATTGCCGCCTGGCCTCAAGTATCCGGAACCCTGTGCACTGTTTTGACTTGGCCTCTCTGGACCCCAGGGTCACTGTGTGTGACATGGCGCAGGTAAGCCCCTCTGTGTAGCTGGCCTCTGCTCTAGGCCCATATACTAACCTGTAACCCTTCCAGCCCTAGCCCTCAGTGCTGGCTTTCTCCTTCGCACAATGTGTTTCAACCCACAGGTGCCTCTAGAGGACGAGTCAGTGGACGTGGCTGTGTTTTGCCTTTCACTGATGGGAACTAACATCAGGGACTTCTTAGAAGAGGCAAATCGAGTACTGAAACCAGGGTAGGAGTCCCCAGGCCCCAGATGCATGTTATGTGTGTGCATGTGTGAGTCTGCGTTTTAACGTAGAACTTCTCCTTCACAGGGGTCTCCTGAAAGTGGCTGAGGTCAGCAGCCGCTTTGAAGATGTTCGGAACTTTCTGGGGGCTGTGAGCAAACTGGGCTTCAAGGTCATCTCCAAGGTGAGAGTCCTGAGAGATCTGTCCCTATTGTCTGATGTGTGACCCTTTTCAGGGTGATGGTACTCAGGAAGGAGCCCATAGGCACAGGACAGCAAGTGTTCCCTGGGGCACACTTCACAGTGGAGCCCTGGGAAGCTTTCTGGGCAGGGCCAGGACATGGTGGGAGGTGTTCTGAGGAGTTAGTGCGAGGATTTGGAGCTCACTGGGTCTTTTCTGCCCCTAGGACCTGAGCAACAGCCACTTCTTCCTGTTTGATTTTCAAAAAACTGGGCCTCCTCGGGTAGGGCCCAAGGCACAGCTCTCAGGACTGAAGCTTCAGCCGTGTCTCTACAAGCGCAGGTGACCTGGACGCCCGTTGGAAGGAGAGGCAGGGCTCAGACTCCAGGCTCAGGATGGTGAAGACTCTCAAGCAAGGTGGTGAGCCAAGACCGCACTCCCTCTGGCCTATGAGCAAAGTGTGATAACACCGTGGCTCAGCTCAGCCCCAGTGAAGTCTTCTTAGAAGCATAATGTGACTTTGGCTAGCTAAAGAATAAGGAGTTTATTATGAGAACCTGGAGCTGTCCGGGAATCATGTGTCACCTTAGGTAGCATGAAAACTGGACTGTCTGGAGATCAGGGATCTCTGGGTTTTACTCCTCTTTCCAATTCTCTAAAGCCACGTAGCTTCTATTTGTTCTGTTTCCATCTGCTCAAGCCCTCAAGGCCGCAGACAGGCAGCTCTTGCTTCTAGGCAGTTCCAATCCGGGCTCACCACTTAGAGCTGGGGTCACTTAATCTCTGAATATCATATTCTTCATTTGGAACATGGTATAATTCCTGTCTTAGAAGGCTGTGTTGGTTAACTGAGGAAATCTATGGCCAGGGCTGGAAACATAGGAGGTGCTCAATAAACTAGCTATGGCTGTTACATATTGTAATCCTTGTTCTTTGAAGACCTTCCCTAAGCTGGGTTGGAGGTTGAAGGGTGAAAAATAGATTTGTTGACTAAGAAAGATTGTAAGAGAATTCAGGAACAGGCTCATTTCATCCACTACGTGGAGACTTTTTTTTTCCTTTCATTTTTTATTTGAAAGGCAAAGAGCAGAGATCTTCCATCCTCTAGTTCACTCTTCAAATGCCCACAGAAGCTGGGACTGGTCTGCACTGAAGCCAGGGGCCCAGAACTCAACTCAGGTCTCCAAATTGGGTGGTAAGTTCCCAAGTCCTTGAGCTGTTCCCTGCTGTCTCCTAGGGTGCACATTAGCACAAAGCTGGAATCAGAAGCAGAGTCCTGGGACTCAAACCCAGGCACTCTGAGAGACTTTTTTAATGGGTTCCAAGCTGTCCTTATAGATGGGCAGGAAGGGAACTGGGTCTCTGTTCAGAAACAACAACTGGTTGATACCCTGTTGGGATGGGAGATTGGTAGGCTCAGACTGGGATATCCTCGGCAAACTATAGGCAAAGAAGCCTGTGCTGGGGCGAAATAAGCTAGGATGGTAGATCCTATGCTTCCCCTGGAAGGCATCTGCCATAGACCTGGGTACAAAGATACAGCCTCTTTCACCTATTTTCACAAACAAGACTTAAGAAGACAAAACTTCCAGACAGTTGGGTGTCTCCAATAAGGGAGAGAAATTTTGAAACAGGGAGAGAAATTTTGAAACAGGCTGTAGGCTAGAAGGTATGTTTGGAGGTTGAGCTGTGAACCATTCAGCAGGCACTGCATATTGCCTTTGCATGTGCTATTCTTAATACTTGCCTGATTGGCGAAGTTTATTTGTCTTTCCAAGAAGCCTAGAAGTACTACATGAAGAGTGCTACTTTAGCATGTAAATATTTAGTTGTCATTGCTTTGGGCATTTGGCTGTAACCTGCTCAAGCCATCTTTGAATTCCTAGAGCTTATTACATGAAATAAAGCCAGTGTACTTTTCACCTAGGGAGGGATCAGGAACAACATGGTCCAGCTGAATGGAATTGATGAGGTCATAGGTGCTATAGAAACCCAGGTTCAGGGCTGGTGTTGTGGTGCAGCAGGTTGGGATGCTGCCTTTGATCCCAGGATCCCATATGAGTGCCAGTTCAAGTCCCAGCCACTCCACTTCCTATCCATCTCCCTCCTCATGTGCCTAGGAAAGCAATGGAAGATGGCACAAGTGCTTGGGTCCTGCCATCCACATGGAGACCTGGATAAAGCTCCTGGCTTCTGACTTCGACCTGGCCGTTGGGGCTATTTGGGGGGCGAACCAACAGATAGAGCATCTCTCTCTCTCTCTCTCTTCCTCCCTCTTCCTCTCTCCCTGTAACTCAGCCTTTCAAATAAATAAATAAATACATCTTTAGAAAACAAAAAATGAAAACCAGGTTCAAGGCACAAGATGAGGGCACTGTGGACTAATGATGATGGAAGAAGTGGGATGTTGAGGGTGAGACAAAGGAAACCGAAATAAATCTCAGATTTCTGGCTTGAGCAGCTAAGTCAGCTGATGATGCTGTTCAGAGCATGGGACTTTAGGTGCTTGTTAGATGCTCATTTGAAAGTTGGACATACATGAGATGTAAGCTGAAGATTTGGGAATTTAGCCTAGAGGTGGTAATTGAAGTCTTAGAAATAGAGGAGATAAGGGGAGGAGAAAATGGCTCAGAATGGTATTCTGGGGAACATTGGATGGGCAAAGGAAAAACAAACCAGTAAAAGTGACAGGAGATAAGAAGATTGAGCCAGAGATAGAAGAATAAAACCAAAAAAGTGGCTCTTTTTATTTATTTATTTATTTATTTTTAAAGACATTTATTTATTTGAAAGAGCTACAGAAAAGGAGAAGCAGAGGCAGAGAGAGAGAGAGAGGTCTTACATCCACTGGTTGACTCCCTAAATGGCTGCAATGGCCAGGGCTGGGCCAGGCCAAAACCAGGAGCTAGGAGCTTCTTCCAGGTGTCCTTAGTGGTTGCAGGAGTGCTAGCTCATGGGCCATCTTCCACTGCTTTCCCAGGAGCATTAGCAGGGAGCTGGGTCAGAAGTGGAGCAATTGGAACTCAAACCGGCACCATGTGGGATGCCAGTATCGCAGGCGGCGGCTTTACCCACTATGCACAGCACTGATCCCAAGAGTAGCTTTTTCATATGAGAAGAATGGGCAGGTAGTCAGCTGTCCAATGGTGTTGAGAGATTTGAATTTACAGTATTATTTTCCTGAACTTGTAGTTATACTCACTAACTCAATGGTGTGGTTATCTCTACTTGCTCAGGAATCTAGGAGTAGTTGTGGAAGAGGTGAGCACTAAGGGATCATCCAGAATTCATTCATGCAATGGAAATGAAAGGATGGTGAGCAAGGGAGCTTCAGGCAATTAGCAAGTCAGTGATGGTTAAGCAGGATTGTGGACTTTTGTGGGACAGGAAGGAGACAGACAGACAGTAGTAGGCTGTTGAGAGTAATTGAGCAAGTGAGTTGAGAGGATGAGAGACTATGTCAGAAGTTGGAATGCCTGAATTAACTCTGGAAGCAGAGAAACTCCAGATGATGGCCAAGTCTAGGGTAAGTGCCTGACAGGCATGCAAAGGAGGTTGCCTGGAGATTGGTTAATGGTCTGAAGGATCAAGTATTGGAAGGAATTGTCTTCGTGGACTTGTAAGTTCTCCAGAGCGATGGCAGAAGTTGATGGTGGAGTAGGTGCCAGCCTTGAGTGGAGCAGGGATGGATGTGGGAGGAGCCAGACGATTTGCAGACAAAGGAAGGGAGAGGCAGGATGGCAAGAATTTCAAGAGCAGAGAGATTTACACAGCCTACCAGAAAGAGCTCCATGTGGGGTGTGACGGGAGGCAGGGAAGCAGAGCTGGCAGCCAAGCAGTCCACATCAGATGCCCCGACAGCTCTCTTTCTGCAGACTGCTAGGATTCAAAGAGCTTACTGGGAAGACCTTACTGTTGTGGCAGCTTCAAGAGGGGGAGGCAGGCCACAAAGTCCAAGCAGTGTGTTACAGCAGAGTCTGTTTCTGTAGGACACAGATCACCTCTTACACCTTGTGTTCTTTCCCAAAGGTTATTTCTATTCTTAGATCTTCATTGATTTTTCTGTTTTATGATCGTGCTTGGCAAGACAGTTGGGGTCCCCGTCTTTGGCTTTTTTCCCTTACTTATAATCTGGATTCTCCCTTCAACTATTCTGGCTCAGCCAATTGAATAAACATCTCTGTGGATGTCACTCAGGCCCCAGGCTCTCCCTCCCTCAGCCCAGCATTCATTAGTGGCTCCCCTCTGTCCCCTTAATTCTGAAAGCGGGACTCTCTTGATGCTGATCTGGGTTCCCCCTGCTCCATCATCAGCTTCAGAGCAAGCTCTTGTTCAAATCCATGCCTGAGCTTCCAAGTTTCATGTTGAGAGCCTATACTAAAGAGAGAGAGAACAGTTTCCCTGCTGTTGTAGGAACAATGAGACCTATGTGGCTGGCGCAGATGGGAGAGGCTAGCATAGTAAAAGGTAAGTGGGGGAGGGGGAGAAGGCAGTGGTCTCGAACCTCAGAGTGTATTAGAGTCACCAGGAAGGCTCTTGGTACCACAGGTTGCTGAGTCCTTTCCCAGAGTTTCTGAGTCACTGGGATAAAGACCCCAGAAATTCTTTTCTGGTTGCTTTGATTTTCTCAGTGAAGCAGGAAGCCAGTTTATCAGTTGAGAGTGAGTAAAGAATGAATATTACTTCTTGGAGAGTGAAAGAGAATGAATGACCTAGGAAAATATATTATGATAGTTGGCAGCATTAACAACACACTTGACATTCAAGGTCATGAAGTAGAGGATGGGATGGGAGGAGACTGGTCTAAGATAGCTTTGTAGAGTCCCTTGCTCTGAGACAGTGGACAGCTGGTTTGTCATAACGCAACTCCTTTGGGTATTGGTGGGGGCAGGTTTCTGCTCTCTTCCTCAAGTCTAGTTAGGGATTCCACTGAGACCCTTGGGAAGCAGGAGGTATTTGTTCCCACAGCTGAGGAATGACGAGTCTGGAGTCTGACTCCTGCTCTGGAAATGTAGAGGGCAAGCAAAGACTCACTGTTACATTGTTAGGGCCAGGGACATACTGTTGCTCCTGCATTCTCAGAATTTGCACTGGCAAGCAATGCAATGTAATGCATAAGTGTGTCTGCTGTGCACCTTGCAGGGGAAGGCAAAGTGTGGGGTGGTCATGGATCCTTGCCAGTAAGAACGTTGGAAGAAGCAAGGAGACCTCAGCAAAAGCTGGGAGTGTGCTGTGTGGGCTGAGGAAGGAGTTGCCGGGGAGCAGAGCTGCATGCCCACGGTTAAGAGAACCAAGGGTCGGGGACAGCAGAGATTCCCTCGTTAAATATATGCCAGCTCCATATGGCGCAGATCAACCCAGCCAGGCAAGATTGTTTTATCCCCTGATTTCTTCTCCCTCTCAGCACTGGCGCCCAAGGCAGTCAGCAGCAGTGAGCTGGAGAGGAGATGTGGAGAGAGGCAGCATACAGATCAGTCATTCAGTAACACAGGCCCCTTAGGGAGGTAGAGCTAGGAAGAAACAAGATTTAAAGCTAGGACAGATGCTGCTTATTACTACACAGAGTTGGACATTCTAATGACCTAGTTGGGATTGCATTTATACCTTGAACTATCAGCAAAGAATATCACAAACTTGCTTCAGCTTTTCTCCCAGGAGGGAGAGTATCCCACAAAGAGGGAAGTTTGCAGGGCTGGTAAGAGACAAGAATAAAGTTGCATTTGAATATCAGGCCATGCTTGTCCTTGTCATCGTCACTTTTAGAGGTCTCCAAGTTCCTGCTTCTGCACTTACTGGTCTGTTCCTGCTTTTGTTCTTGTAGTATAGTCCTAAGGGAACATAGTTCCAAAAGAAACAACATGATCTTGGCAGAGACACAGCTTAGCTCCAAACACTCAACCCATTATGTAATGG